TACTAGTCACTGACCAAAGCCCTCTAATGTAAGGAAATTCTGTAATTGTTAGACCCTGAGCTTTAATAAGTTCACAGATATAGACATAGGTAGAACATTGGATCTAAGGGGCAGGGGGCAGGGAGATGGCTCCGTGGGTAAGAGCACTTGCTACACAAACATGAGGACTTAAGTTCAAATCTTAGCACCCATGCAAAGAAGCAGGACATGGCCATGTGAGCATCTTTTACCCCAGCAGGTCAGAGGGAAGAGACAGGACCACTGGGGTTTGCTAGGCACCAGCTCAGCTCTAGAGTCAGAGAGATTTTGTCTCATATGAATAAGGTGGAAAAAATAATCGATAGTGCAGGGCCCCTGATATCCCTTTGTGCATGTACATCAAAACACACAGGTACATATATGCCACACACAATAATCACATGTATGCATACATATACATACTAAAAACTACTCCCAAGGATGTATCTGTGCTAGATTCTTCAGGGATTCACATTTTTTCCTAAAGGAGAAAGAGGCTTTACACAGTGAGATTAGAGTTGTATTTTTTGAAGGATTTAAAAATTAAAAACAGGACAAAAAAAGAAAACTCCAGAAGACAGTAAACTGCCAGATGGCTCTTGAAGTAGAGTCCTACTTCAAAGGAAAACTCTAAAGACTGGCGTGTGTCGGAAGACAAACTGGAAGCAGCTGTAGGAGCTGCATAGGGGCGGTGCGCTCTCTGGCTGGAACGCATTACTGAGGCGGGATCAAGAATAGCTGACATTGTACGGCAGGGCTGGTTGAGAAGGAGCCTCTGAACTGCAGAAAAATAGGACAGGCACTTCTGAGCTTACCCATGTTGGAGAGGGGTATGAGGGAGTAGAGAGGATGGGTATGGACCAATTACTCCAAGAATACCAGTGGATATTTTAAGGCTCCTTGATGAACTGTGTGAGCTGAGCTGGAAGTCATGAACAGGTTTCCTGGGACCCACGTGGAAAGAATTTGAAGCCTTACTCCTAGTTACTGACACTGGGAGGATGTTCCACTCTTAAATTTTCTGACCAAAGCTTCCAACTTAGGTGTCCTTTTCTCTAGTAAGAACATAGAGATAGCACCAGTATGATCTGGAAATCAGATTGCAAAGGAGGCCTGGGGTGAGCTCCAGGCATTATCAGGAGATGTGAATCTCACCATTCAGCTTCAAGCACACACCACAACACGCGGCACACTCAGATTCCCAGGCACCTTGACAGCTGTGCATTGATGCTCCTGGGGCAAAAAATGCCACATTCAGCTCTTTGCTCAACTTTGAAAGTCCTCGTACTAGAGGCACCTCGGCTGTGGCTGCAGCACAAAGGCTTCCCGTGCTTGCCGTCTCGCCAGGCAGAACAGTCAAAAGATGTATCCTGAATGGCTAAGATGCTAAAAGCAGGTCATTCTCATAGCTGTATGTGTCATTTTTAAGGGAAGCCAGTTACAAACCCAAACCTGCAAGCATGCAGCCAGGACATCAGTGACTACTGTCCCTGCCTTGTGTCGTCCACCGCCTCCGTTTCATGGGCCAGCAGCAGTTTGACCTTTGCTGCAAATGTCAATTAGTGCTGGCTGAGTAGGAGTTCAGATCTGACTTTTCAGAAATAAAAACAGATTAGAGAAAAAGGGGCTAAATTCGACTAGATCAGTGCTTCAGGGAGCACAGTGTGCCATGAGGGCCAGTGTGACACAGCTCTGTGGAAAACACTCTCCTCACATTCCTTAGGTCTTGAGTTCAAGAGAGGAGAGAGTGGAAAGTGGAGGGACAGAGAGGAATCTGAGAGCAAGGAGACCCGAACACGGTCAAGCGGGTCAACTCAGGAAATTGCTAAACTCTGCACCTTGAGGTTCTTCTGGGAACCATGCCATGACTATGAAGGCTTGCCATGTGCCCCACAGCCCTATGCAGTGGTGTTTTTGTTTTTCTCTCATCACAGACCGATGAGGAGAAGAGGCAGGGGCTACCTGTAGTGATGCCAGTGTTCGACCGCAATACCTGCAGCATCCCCAAGTCCCAGATCTCCTTCATCGACTACTTCATAACAGACATGTTTGATGCTTGGGATGGTAAGTTAGATGCTGTTTTATCACCCACAAAGAACATTTTTGTTACACTTAATGAAGATCACCTTTAGGGGCCTGGGCTGGGCCTAAAGATAAACAAAATATAAATATATATTTCATTTTGTTATAAACAAAACTGTGAAAATGTTTTTAACATAAATACACACATCTATGTGTGTGTGTGTGTGTGTGTGTGTGTATTCTGAGCCCTTTGCGAGCAGCTAGAGTAGGGGCATCCCAGCGTCCGACACAATCCTGAGTGCACAAACACAGTGAACGAGTGTTACCTGGATGAGTAAGTCTTCACTTTTTCACTTTTCAGAGGACAGCTTCCCAAAGTGCACAACTGTTTCATTCTCACACTGGAAGAAAGCCCATTAAGTAAAATGTATTTCATTCTCTGTGAATTTCAGGTTCAAGAGAGTTACATAAAAAGCCTGTTTATTTCAGCAGCTAACTGGGCCGTCGCTCACAGCTCAGAGTGGAGGAGTGCTTGCCTACTGGGTTCAACTCCTAGCACTACAAAACAAACAAATGATTTTTTTTTTTTGAGACAGCATTTCCCTGTGTCCTAGCCTGTCCTGGAATTAGCTCTTGCAGACCAGGTTGGCCTCAAACTCACAGAGATCCACCTGCCTCTGCCTCCCAAATGCTGGGATTGAAGGAATGTGCCATCACCGTCCAGCATAAATAAATAAATCAAAGAAAGAAAACTAGTGTTTTCATACATATGTTGACTTGCAGCCCAAGGCCTTGGGGATCTCTGTCCTCCTGTTCTTTTTGTGGGGTACACATGCAAACAGACGTCAAAGTTCATCCTCAGGTGTTGTACCTCAGGAGCCAGCCGCTTTTGTCTTTATACAGGGCTTCTTATTGGCCTGGAACCTCCCAATTGGATTAGGCAGGCTGGCTGACTGGCTAGTGAGCCCCAGGGATCTTTTTGTTACCTCCCCAAAGATGGGATTACAAGTGCATGCTACCATGGCCAGCTTTTTTATATGGTCTGTGGACTGCGCTCAGGTCCTCAAGATTGTATGTCAAGCAGGATACTATCTTCTCTACTTCTGCTCCCCAAGGCTAAACCTAGTAAGTACTCCCAAGATCCAACTTAGTGTAATGGGTTTCTCTGGATTCTGTTCATGTCCCTGCAGCCTTTGCACACCTGCCAGCCCTGATGCAGCACTTGGCAGATAACTACAAACACTGGAAGACACTGGATGACCTCAAGTGCAAAAGTCTGAGACTTCCATCTGACAGCTAAAGCCAGGCCAGAGAAGGGGCCTCTGGATCTACGATGGACACTGTGAACTGCAGAGTCGTGTGAACAAGAGGCTTTTCTGTATGATGAGAACAGGTGTAGATTAAGGAGCTAGTGTTTAATAGCTGTTATGAGTCATGCACGCCCCCAAATTTCATTTTTCAGAAAGTTATATTCCATCAGTAAAAATATGTTCTTTTAAATCACTTAATGACAAAACGAACCGCTTGGCAGTCTCCTCTGCCACGCTGTGCGTGCCCTTACAAAACCATGGAGCTGACTCTCTGTAGTTACACGCAGGACACAGAAGCAGAGAACCTGGCGTCTGTGAGTCCATCCTGATGGAGACCATGCCACTTGGCCAGTGTCCACCGGGACACTCACTACTGAGATTTAGCTGCACTACTTTCCTCGGCGGCAGGAGTATGAAGGGTTCCTAAAAAGCTTCTCTGAGCAGATATATGTAAGAAAAGAAGCTACTCTAAGATGCGCAGAATGAGGACGAGATTATCGCTAAACTAGTTAGCATCACGGCTGCCATGACTACATGGCAGGTAGCGTGATGCCCATGTGAGAACACAGCCTTGGCCTGGTGAGTGTCCCTCTGATGGGCGTCAGCCACTTGCGGAGCCCTCATTCCTGGAAGGGACTCACCTTATAGGAGGCCAACTGATGGGGAAGGAGCGGGAGCTTGCCTGAGTGTCCCCGGCTTCAGGCTCACGGACACACGTCAAGAGTATCTATAAAAGCCATTAAATACAAATGCTCGTGAGCAAGCTTTAAAAAAAAAAAAACTTAAGAGAAGAAAAATTTATATATATATATATATATATATTTGTTGTTCAAAGATTTTTATTAAAATAATCTAAACGCCCTGGATCTTCGCCCCTAGAATTTTCTGGGCATTACCTGTACATCTGAATTTGGGGAGGAAATGGGAAAGTTTCAAGGTTCAGATATTCTTAATTTATATTTGAGATCATGCCATTTGCTTTACTGATGTAAAAAGGGATTGCGGGAAATGTAAATATATCGGAAGACAGGCATACAGAGAGGCAGTAAACACTATTTTAAGCTATTAATTGTATGTAAGGCTGAAAGCACAAGGGCATATTTTTATACGACTCTTTTCACAACCTTCTGTGCTCAGCATAAAGTCAGACTCGAGATTTTTCCTTTCTCTTTTATCAGCAATCCCTTCTCTGTGTATTACGAATATCAGAAACTAAGTAAATGAAATACCTTAGTTTTATTTTATCTGTACCCCATGATGCATTTTTAAGAGGTATAGAAACCGAACTGATTGAATCAGTAGCTACATTTTTCCCAAATGAAAATTGGACTGCAGGCTATGTAAAAACTCGGTACATGGAGAAGAAAAAGATAACTTATCACTATGTAATGTGCCAATGTTTTTTTCTATGTTTTGTACCGAAGTGTAAACATATATGACAATTCCATGCACAGAAAAGCATCTAAATTATTTTTGCTAGACGGCAGGAGGCCTTGATTCACCGGCGGGGACAGAGCTGGCTTTGTATTGTATTGCCGCATTGTGTACATGTGAGGAAATGTTTTTGTCAAGTTCTTGTAACTAAATTCTTACAGTCATTTTTCATTCCCAACAGCTGTTTTTATTTTATCTCTTTGGCCTAAACTTTTCATAATTTCAAATTTGGGGTCCTAGTGTCTTTTATTTCACGAGTTATCAGTCTGTTTCCAGAACACTGAGGTCAGAGCACAGGATCTCTTTGGGCTTCAGAAGCTGGCTGGAGCAAGGACAATCTTTCTCTGAGGAGCCTGCTTTCAGTTCCACTCAGCAGGGAACACTGGCCAGGCACCTGGCATCTCCTATATGCAACATTACAGCTTGCTCAGTGATATGCCGTATCAACTTCATGCTAACCTCAAATGCTAGTAACATGTGGATATTAAGTGCCCTGAGATATCGAGGTGCTAGAGTTTCAGTGTGATCTCCTCACTACCAGTGTAAATTACAGCCATCTTCTGAGTTGCTAAGAGGCACATTTTTCCAATTTACTAGAATCATGGACTTTCAGGTAATGTTCCTGCATCTCAGATACGTATCGATGTGACACAGATAAACTACTGTCAGTGTCTCTCACTCCTGTTTACTGTGACACCATGTGTGGTGAGGACATACATTAACTTAGGAAAACATAAAGGAAAGTCATGTTAATACTATTATTAATTACTCTGCCGAAGAGGGAAGTTGGTGTAAAATCTTACATGAGCCAGAACGGTAACTGTTTCAGCCACTCCTCAGTTAGGGGTGGCTACCCTCCCCAGCAAAGAAAGATGGTATCAGTACACTTGGAATCTATCCAGCCTGTGAGCAGTGGACAAGCCTGTGCTGCACAGATGCACCTAGAGACCCAGCTCCAAGTATTTTAAGGGCGACAACAAGGCACACTGTACACACTGATCTGGTACAGACAGCTAGGTGACTGAAGTAGAGGAAACACGCACATAATATATACTGGCCTTAGCTCTAATTTTCTTCCTCTAAATTGCAAGTTCAAGTCCTAGGAACGGTCTACATGTAACTACCGAAGAGCAAAGGTGCTGATCCTTGCCATGGTCACCTTATCATGCTCGTCTCCCTGACCTCGGGACACTCACACAAGGTCTCCCCTAGGCTGGAGAACACTCTATTTGACCAGTTTCTCAGCGGTGGGAAACTGGTCAAATGGAATGGAACAACAGCAATGCTGGACTCCAATCCTGTCTGCTCTTAAAACTCAAGCGTGGCTGGGAGTAGTGGTGTACGCCTTTAATCCCAGCACTCGGGAGGCAGAGCAGGAGGATCTCTGTGAGTTCGAGGCCAGCCCGGTCTACGAGAGCTAGCTCCAGGACAGCCAGGGCTACACAGTGAAACCCTGTATCAAAACACAAAACAAAACAAAAAACAAAAGAACACACACAGAGGAGACAAAATTTAAAAAGAAAAAACTTAAGGATGACTTCAGCCATTCAATTTGAGTAGATTTCCACCACAAAACAGGAATCCAAATCAGGTTAGGAAACAGGTATAAAAAACAAAACAGAAAAGCAACAAAAACCATATGAATACTTTGTCTTTTATCATTTAAGAAGACATCCTTACTAGCTAATGGCCTAATATAAAATTTGCAAAGGAAAAACTCGCTAGTAAAAGGGGGAAGTCCATCTACAGAGCAAAATTCAAAGCTTTAAGTGAGTCTAAAATAAATTAGCCCAAGTGCCAGTGAGCTGATGCATAGAGCAGACGCTGCTCATAGCTCATCCTCAGGAAGAATGGCAAGAAAGCTGCCTCCTGTGTTGACTCCTCAAATAACAATGGTATGCTGGCTAAAAGACACTGTCTTTTTTCTCATTCGCATGCTGCTCTGTCCTCATTAAGGTAGCTTACATTTTAATATTATTCTTTCCAACAAAGCTATTTTCATTGTGAACTACAACAGCAGCAAGGACTGTAAATGCTGATTTTCCTGGCATGGTCACCATGAAGTCTTCTCAGCCTCATCTGTTATTGTAAGAGGTGTGGGTTGTGTCCGGCCGCCCGGCCTGCTTAACCCCTGAAATAACCACACAGAAATTGTATTAATTAAATTACTGCCTGGCCCATTATAGCTAGCCTCTTTTGGCCAACTCTCACATCCTGATCTAACCCATTTCTACCAATCTGTGTAACACCACAAGGTTGTGGCTTACCAGGAAAGATTCTAACCAGCGTCAGTCTCAGGCAGAAGCTTCATGGCTCCTTGGCTCTATCTGCTGCTTTTTTTCTCCCAGAATACACTTTTGTCTTTTCCGCCTATCTAAGTTCTGCCCTATCAGGTCAAGCAGTTTCTTTATTGATTAACCAATGAAAGCAACACAAATACAGAAGGACCTCCTACACCAACCTGTCTGTTTTTTATGGGTGTTCAGTGATAACAACGGGTGCTGGAGAACAAGCTAGCCTCCACAGGCCTTGGTTTCCTCATTCCTAACATTTGCCACTGATCTACCTACCATCCTAATGCTACCAATCTTCGTAGGCAGCGGTGAAAGCTGAAACCAGTGGAAACAAGAATTTATAGCATCCATCCAGGGAGCATAGTACACACATGTGCACACACAAGTACGTAGGCGTTTTCCTGGAGAAGGATCAGGTGCCTAACATCCCACATTCTGTCTGTCTTGAATAAGACTCCCTAATCAACAAGAGTAATCCTCACTGCAGTACAGAAGACATTTTATGTTTCAGTGCCAAAAGTGAGAATAGTGCCATAGGCTGGTAGGGCAACGGAGATGGTCCAGTCCTAGTGGATCTTCAAAGACCCAAAAGGTGGGTCTGTCCTTGAACATTTTATATTAACACAAAGGAAAGGAGATGATTAGGGCAATTTAGCTGCAGTTCCTGACCTCAGAAAAGCGCTGTGTCTTTCCTAACCCTGGACTCATCAGAGAAACACCCGAGAACTATTCTGGCCAGTAACTGCCCAGGCCGGTTCACACTGAGAAAGAAATGTACCCTGTGGACTGAAGCACAGCGGGATTTTAGTAGGGACAATGGGATCTTTTTTTCAGTGACTTAAATTAGTACCAAAAAGAAGTGTTGTACTTAAAGAAAATAATTCTTTTTTGACTAATACTCAAATTTAATTCTAGTGAACACTGATAGCTACTAGAGAGTAGGAGAATTAGCAGAACGGATAGATCTATCCTGACAACTCCCAAACAGTCTTTGAAGGAACCCTAAATAGATAAACCTAAAGAATGGGACAGCTTTACAGTTCCCTTTTCCCCAATCACTTTACGAAACAAAACACAGCACCCACTATGCCACGGCAGCAAGGTCCAGCAGAAACCTGTGCTGTGTCCTTAGGTGGACACACTTGCTCCTGATAGACAGACAGAACTTCATAGGCAAGAAGAACATTACAAATCTAAGTGATCAGTGTGTAGCGGCTTTCAGAGTTCCGCTCTTCATTTGATGGTCAAGGCTCATGTATCTGTGCGATCCTTCAACTAGACAGTGGGGTGTAGGTCACCATCCTCTTCTAGCTTCTGAAATAACTTTATACTTCGGAGTCCAGATTCTCGCTCTCCATTTTTCCACAGAATAATGAGATGATCTGCAGAGCATGTCACTAGTCCATGATCTTCAAAGTATAGAAACATCTGTAAAATAAATTGAAACACTAGTTCAAGACCATCAAGAAGAGGCTAACACTAGTCACTGTGTGTGCTAACAGACGAGGAGGTCTCTCTGGATTTGAATGCAAAGTCTCTAATGAGTGACTCTCTTGTTTCAGTGTTGGTGATCCAAGCCAGGGTCTCCTGTGGCTGTTCTACCACTGAGCCCCTAACCTTTGCCAGGGCTCACTTATGCAGTCTGGGCTAGCTTGAAGCCTACAACCTCCTGCTCTGTTAGCCTCCTGAGTGTTAGGATTACAGGCATATGCCACCTAGCCTCGGGAAACTTTTCTTTTCAAAACCTGTCAGTACAGCCAGTATCTAACATTTTAATGGATTTTGTTGATCAACTACAGAACAACAGTAACAGCGATTTCTCAAGGTATCATCTGGGTTTACCACAATTAATTATTCACATATGGGCTTTAGTTTGATTCTGTCAGGTCTGGGTCCCCTCACACTTGCATTATTTACTAGTATGGCTACTAATGAAATTCCCTGAGATAAACACTGACTTCAGCGATCTCTGTAAAGCAGAGGTGATGTGTCAGCACACAGCATTTACTGAGAGACTTCAGTTTAAAAGCCAGGGCCAGCTGCAAGAACTGGGGGTACCAATGCTTGAAAGCCAGGGCCAGCTGTAACAACTGGGGTACCAGTGCTTGAAAGCCGGGTCAGCTGTAACAACTGGGGTACCAGTGCTTGAAAGCCGGGTCAGCTGTAACAACTGGGGTACCAGTGCTTGAAAGCCGGGTCAGCTGTAACAACTGGGGTACCAATGCTTGAAAGCCAGGCCAGCTGTAACAACTGGGGTACCAGTGCTTGAAAGCCAGGGCCAGCTGTAACAACTGGGGTACCAGTGCTTGAAAGCCGGGCCAGCTGTAACAACTGGGGTACCAGTGCTTGAAAGCCAGAGCCAGCTGTAACAACTGGGGTACCAGTGCTTGAAAGCCGGGCCAGCTGTAACAACTGGGATACTGATGAGAGATTCTAATCAGTTCTGCCCTGTAGCATGCATGTCACCGAAACTCAGAAGAGTGGAGATGCAGCAGTAACTGGGGAAAGGATGTGCTAGAGAAGGAAGAACATGGAGGCCAGTGCAGATCCGACAAAGGAGGATGCTGTGGATGGAGAGAATGGGGCTAGAGAGAGACCTAGGACTAAACTAGGGCGAGGCCCTTTAGGACCCAGTGTAAGAAGGGATGAGCCGAACAAAAGCCAGGGACAAGAGAGTAGGGTCAAAGGTCGGGACTTACTGATGACTACAGAGCAGAAGGGAGAAATATAGGAGCAAACTTTCTCAGGAGCCAGGGTCCTCAGGGCATGCGCAGAGGGTGAGAGCACAAAAGCCCTGAGGATATTCAGGAGGCAGCACCTGCTAGCAACAGGATCTGAACTTGCCAATGAAGTCAGAAGAGCTTTTTAAAAATGCAGGATGGGGGGTAGCTTGGTGACAGGTACTTGCCATGCGTGTAGAGTATGGAAAGCCTTGGGGGGCAGCAAGGAGGTGAAAATGCGAATGCTTTCAAGGACTTCCTAACCCTCTCACTTACCTAATGACAAATGCGCCATTTCTAAGGTCTCCTCTATCCTTAAAACTTTTAAGTGTGTGTGTGTGGCAGGAAGAGCTGAAGAGATGGCTCAGCTGTTAAGTGCACTGACTGCTCTTCCAGAAGGCCTGGGTTCGATTCCCAGAACCTACATGATACCTCACAACCAGCTGTAATTCAGTCCCTGGGGATCCCAACACCCTCTTCTTGCCTTCTTGGGCACTGCAGGCAAACACCCATAAAACATTCTTAGTATGTTCAATGAGTCCCCAATATTTTAAAAATAAAGCCCAATTTCCTTGGCCTTACTTCTTTCGGCTTTTTCTTTGATTGGTGTTGGTGGAAACCCAATTATTCCATCTGACCAATCCACCAAAACACAGTGTATGCCTGTGGTCTACCACATGGATGCTCACCATCTGTAACCTGCACCACAGCCAACACACTGTCTATGCCTGTGGTCTACCACATGGATGCTCACCATCTGTAACCTGCACCACAGCCAACACACTGTCTATGCCTGGGGTCTACCACATGGATGCTCACCATCTGTAGCCTGCACCACAGCCAACACACTGTCTATGCCTGTGGTCTACCACATGGATGCTCACCATCTGTAACCTGCACCACAGCCAACACACTGTCTATGCCTGTGGTCTACCACATGGATGCTCACCATCTGTAACCTGCACCACAGCCAACACACTGTGTATGCCTGTGGTCTACCACATGGATGCTCACCATCTGTAACCTGCACCACAGCCAACACACTGTCTATGTCTGTGGTCTACCACATGGATGCTCACCATCTGTAACCTGCACCACAGCCAACACACTGTCTATGCCTGTGGTCTACCACATGGATGCTCACCATCTGTAACCTGCACCACAGCCAACACACTGTGTATGCCTGTGGTCTACCACATGGATGCTCACCATCTGTAACCTGCACCACAGCCAACACACTGTGTATGCCTGTGGTCTACCACATGGATGCTCACCATCTGTAGCCTGCACCACAGCCAACACACTGTCTATGCCTGTGGTCTACCACATGGATGCTCACCATCTGTAACCTGCACCACAGCCACCCAAGCCAAAACGAAGCCAAAACAAAGCCCTGAGCTACATCTTAAAGGACAGCGAAGATGAGTAAGGTACAGCACCCAACAAGAGAGGTTGCACAGGGCCTTGGCTGTGTACCTTTTAGTCCAACCTAGCCTCTGAGGTGGTGCGGGAGAATTATGTGTATTCTGTCAATTATGTATTTTAATAAAACACTGACTGGCCAGGCAGAAAGTATAGGCGGGTCAACCAGACAGGAAGTAGAGGCTGGGCGATGAGAACAGGAGAATTATAGGAAAGAGGAAGCGCATTCCCCAGTCCAGCCCAGACCACCGAAGAGGCAACATGTGACCTCCCCGGCTGAGAAAGGTACTGAGCCGTGTGGCTAGCAGCATAGATAAGAATACTGGGTTAATATAAGCTACAAGAGCTAATAAGAAGAATGTGCTAATGGGTCCATCAGTTTTATAACTTATAGAGATTTCTGTGTGATTTTTTTGGGGCTTGCCAGCTGTGGGGTACTAGGCGGGATAGAAACCCCAACAAGCGGGCCCCTCATGCTACACTGAGGCTCATCTCAAATCCTCTGTCTCTAGAAAATTCTACAGGATACAGCAAGAAGTGTTCCTTTTAACTCCCTGGCTGCTTTTCACCAGGGTCAGCCGAAGTAGTCTTGATTAGGAGCTCACTGGGTCTTTTTCCTTCCTCTCTACTGAAGTATCAGATCTGTGAGGACAAGGGTTGCATTTTATACCTCTTTTTAAACTTCAGGAAATGGTCAATGGTCGCTGTGGCTGCTGCTTCTAAGTATGGATGCCTACCCAAATTAAAAGTAATTTGTTCCTAACTGGCCAATTCAGGAAATGCATCCCTTAGGGCCCCCTCACTGCTATTCTTAAGCTGTTCCAGTTCCCATCACCCCTTCATTGCCATCAGTTCCCTCACTCGTTGCAGACAATGGAGCTTACTGTCAATTATTAATGTGTCTGCAGTTCCACAAGGGAGACTCCTCCGCATAGTTCCTGAACCTCATAATGCAAAGTGACGCAGTAACAGGGTCTATCACTAGGGTTAATCAATAGCAGCTGGAAACAGTGCTCCAATCCTAAATTTGGCTATGATCCCTGGAATTAGATTCTGTTCAGGCTCTTACCCTACACACACACAGCCACAACATTCTGCATGTCCTCTGGTGACTGCTGTGATACATAGTCAAAGTCACCAACATTGCCCAAGATTGATCAGCTAGCTTCACCTCCTATACAGTGGAGACTAAGCTCGTTCTTAAACCAATACATTGTTTACTTCCTCAAATCCTATCTGTAAGAAGGAGGACCCTAACCACTTGTACTATCACTATCTTATTCTGATTCTTATCTTGCCAAAGCCTACAGCCGAGAATGTGAGTCTTAATTACAGCAACTGCATGAGAAAAGAACCATGCTGCAAAAGCAGGAGCTGCCTGCACTGCACGCCTACTAAAAGTAGTACCTCCACGGAGGATGAGTGGCCGATCAAGTCTCCGATGAGCTCCAGGGAACACGTAGTGCCATTTTCTTGCTGCTTTTTAACAGGCTGGCTGGCTTGTTTGTTCACTCTTCCGAAGCCCCACATATTAAAAAACCCTACAAAAATACAATCATTTCAGTCATTTCAAAAGCTCCTGTGCTTTTTCCTTACTGAAAAGCAGAAAATTTCAATAAAATCGTGTCTCACACTTACATGTGTCAAGGGCTAAGCTGACAGCACTAGACACTAGCCAGGACCTGTGGATATATTATGTTGTATTTTTCTTACCTTGCCTAGCTCCACATCTTTTCTACAGCCCCTACTCATCCACCAAAAAAACAGACAGACATTGGAATGTAAGAGAAGTAAGCAGCCTTGAAGGTTTTATGTAATCCTCGAAAATCAGGGAGAAGACATATCAACAAAACAGAGGGAAATCTCTCTCTCTCTCTCTCTCTCTCTCTCTCTCTCTCTCTCTCTCTCTCTGTGTGTGTGTGTGTGTGTGTGTGTGAGAGAGAGAGAGAGAGAGAGAGAGAGAGAGAGAATCCCAGAACTTCAAGTAAACTGAAAAAGACAAGAAATTAAGAACACCAGTATTTGACATATTAAGGATTAATAGTTAAATTCATTCAAATATCCAGACTCATTTTTCAAACCAAACCCCTAAAAGAGCTCGGGAGATTATGACATTAACAAGGAAAGGCAAGTTGTTTTGTTTTTTTTTTCCGTAGATCACATTGAGTGTTAATAATGCTTTTCTATCAATCATACAAGTTTTGTGTCAGTCAGAAATATAGACAATATTATAGGTATGTAATTACTTCAGTAGGCTACCTGGTCATTTGAATTATGTAAAATTTAGTTTTCTCTCAAAATAATAAAATTGCAATCGACTTCAATTGAAATAAAGAGATAGTTTTACACTGAAGTGAAATTCAGATGCCAACTCCTAATTCCAAGCACCAGCGGCATGCTGCCAGTGTCTGATGCCTGCATGGGGCACATTCTATGCCGCTCCTGGGGTTCCTCATTGTCACCTCTCATCTTCCTGCTGGATGAGATGAGAAAGGAAGGAAGAAGGGGAGGAGAAAGAAAGGAGGGAGGGAGCAGGAACAGCATGCTCTGTGGGGTTGGGCACGCACCTGTTGGGACAGGTTCGGCTGGCAGCTGCTGTTTCTCTCGGACCTCCCAAATGCGTACACTGCCATCTTCTGAGCATGAGATTAACTGCCTGTCAGAATAAAAAGCCAGATAGAAAAAGCCAGAAAGAGTACTTGGAAGGCCGAGTGCTAGCTGCTGAAATCGCTGGAGCCCTCAACTGACTGCAGTCAGCTGTGGACAAGACAGACCATCACAGTTTGGCAAAGCACACATTACACCCTGTGATGTTGGCTCAAGTGACGTCAAATATCATCTCCATTTTTTTTAAAGACTATTCAGAAAAATGACACAAACTACACAATATCCTAAGCAGTCTCACAATATCCTAAGCAGTCTCCTCCTTCCCGCCTCTTTTTACATCTCTTCCCATGGTTCCTCTCATCGGAAGGACGCTGCATGGAAAATCCTACTCTGTGGCTTCATCAGTGGAATCTTAACTGCCAAATCAACCCTCATTTATAGCCTCAGACAGCAAGGGCTACATCCGATTTTAGCCATAAACATACAACACCATTAAAAAATTAGTTTATAGAATATATAAAAATAGTACATTACAAGTGATCCTGGTTTTTTAACCTTATTAACAATTTAAAATTTTCTTTTAAGAAACAGCAGTCTAATTCATTTAACCTTGCTCTTGTAAATTTCTGTCTGTCATGTATTGCTGCAGACTCTTCAGTTACAGTCAGTCATGGAACATTCTCTATTTCCAAAAGAATACCAAGGTCAAGCCGTGGAGCTAGGTAATGTGGCCACTGCAGACATCACGCTAGGGGCCTCGGAGCCGTGACTGTCTCGTCTTGGCAGAGAGATGGGAATGTACCTGTTGGGGAGTCTGACGATGTGGAGGATGGTGGAGTCATGCGCAGCTTTCTGGCAGGCAATCACATGCTTCAGTTGTAGGTTATACACATACAGCCCCCTTCCAACGGCAACAAATATGTTCTGGGGGGCAGGAGTGGAGAAACTTCAGAAATTGGCATAAAACTAATCTTTACTATAATAGATTTCCTGCCCCTTTGTGACATTGGGAAGCCACTGTTACCTTTCCGGTCTTCAGACAAAAATTACAGTCCTGCCCTCTGCCACCCCCAATGTCAAAGTCACCAAGGAAGGCTTAGCACACCAAGCAAGCAGAGGAATGCTCTGCACAGGGCAGCTCAGCTCTGCCTTGGTGCTCTCTGGAGACCCGAACTGCAGGTGTGGTGGCTGCTACCAGGGCCCTGCAGCAGAAGGTACCGAGGTGCATGCAGCCTGGGCTTCCGGAGAACATGGTACCCTTGGGGATTTGCTCAGTTGCTTTTGTCTGGAAATGGAGCCAAAATGACTTGCACTGCACATCTTAAACCTATGAACAACCCAAGAGGTAGATGCGGCAGTGGTACTAGCCGAAGGTCATCTGAAGAGGTAAAGGAAAAAGTTCTAAACCTAGCATCAGAAATGCCTTTCTGCTAAGACACTTGAGTCTTCAGAAAGCGTTTTTGCTAATGTTCCCTTCACCTCCACCTTACAGCATCTGCTGAGGATGAGGGGAAAGCATGGATGTTACTCTCCAGACTGTCAAGTTAAAATGTATGAAACTGAAGGGTTGGTAAAATGGCTCAGAGGGAAGGCGCCTGCCACCAAGCTTGATATCCTGAGTTTCATCCCTGGGATCCAGGTGTGATGGGAGAAGAGAACCAACTCCTGCAAATTATCTTGACAGTCACACGGGAGCCACAGCACAACTGCATACACCTACACACATACTCATGCAAACATACAAAGAAATATATATTTTTTTAAGTTTTTCAGAATTAGATAATGTGAAAAGTGATGGAGGAAAAAACTTGGCACTGACCTCCAGCCTCCATACTCATACTCCTGGCATTGGCTATAGCACCGCATGCAAATACCTACATAGCAACACACATGCACACATACACACTCACACACACTCACACACACACACAAAGGTGGCACATAAAATAGTACAAAGAAAATAAAAGTGCTATTTATGATTTTTCAACAAAAATAATAAAATGGTAACAAGTATGGAAATTAGGATAAAAAGCACAAAATGAAATAAGAAAGGTTTCCTTTGCTCCCTTTCTCAAAGGCTATGAACACTGAAATAAGTAACTCCCCTTAAACACATTTTCTGAAGCACTGAGGCTTAGAGAGAAGACCTTCAGATCAGAGGCAAGAGTCAGTAGTGCCAGTGCTGGCTTTACAGCGTGAGCTTCACAAACTCTACTGCCTGGCCAGAGACAGACAGCAGCTGTTCTTGCCCAGGGACCCTGACCAGGACACCAGCCACCTAGAAGGGAGACGTTTCTCACAGGTTTAACTTTTCCCCTCTCTAGGACATAGATCAGAACTGAAAACAAATCAAATAGGAACCTCAAACACGATGGGACAACTTACTGAAAATCAACTTAGGTATGTAAACTCGTGTTCCAATAATTTCTTTGCCTGCAAGATTAGGAACAAGGACTAAAATCTCTTCTTAACACAAGTGGTCCATTCTTTATGAAACTATAAGACCATTTTAGAACCTGAAACCACTGGTAGTAACCTTTTCATTACTGTGTGTGTGTGTGTGTGTGTGTGTGTGTGTGTGTGCGCGCGCGCGCGTGTGTGTGCGTGCTCGAGTGCATTCCTGTCTTGGTGTTTTCCATTCTGTGGATCTTGTCTGAACTCAGGTTGCTGGGCTTGGTGGCAAGTGCCTTTGTCCACTGAAGTGCCTTTGAGCCTCCCAGCTGCCCAGAATCATGTCTAACATATTAGGATTTAAATATCAGGTGCTGGTTTTATTTGTAACAATTATAATTTATACTTTTTACCTCTTCATCACATGTGAAATGATTAATAGAAATGTCATTTTGCTTTTGGCAGAGTTTTATTTCTTGCTGGGCATCTGGCTGTGGAGACGGGTTCCAGAAGCTACGCTCACAGGCCTGCACGGTCCAGTCCAGGGCATCCCAGATGATCAGCTCTCCAACATGGGAACCGGTGACGAAACTTGTATCTAGAAAAGTTCCCCAGCGCACCATTACTCATCATGTTCTCTAGGCTAAAAATAAAAGTGAACGGGCTTCCTAATTGTACCTAGACAAACTAAAGAGGAAGATTAATATGACAGTAAGAAGTCAAAGGTATAGTTCACTGACTGAAGATAAATATTACAGTTTGTGCCAATAAAAAGGCCATCTATAATGTTTGGTCAATTTTTACAGGTATTAAAATAAAAGAATCTTCCTTTAAATGATATGCCAAAAACATTGTCAATTAAATAAGTAGTTCCAGGACTACAGAGTGGCTAAAGAACACTAAAAGAAGCAGGGCAGGGGAAGACATATAAGGAAATATCTGCTTGGCAAAAAAAATTAAAATTAAAAAAATTAAAAAACAAAACCAATATACATATGATTTAAAAATGGGGAGAATTAGCAACTCAAAACAGTTCATTACACTCAATACATAAGCCAACCCTAGGAAGTACTAAGATTAAGAAAATAGATGGAAAATAAACATGTGATAACATCTCTAGCTACTTTAATAATCAAAGAAATTTTAAATGATCTATTTACTAAGAGGAGTCAAACTGTAAAATAACAAACACACTGACCCACCAGTTCCGTCTGAAGGAATTTATCCTGAGGGAAAGGCAAACAATATATGTTCAAAGCTGCAAGACAGAATCCTAAGAATCTGAGGTCAACCTAAATATCCAACTGTAGACTAATGTAAAAATGACAACCATAAAATAAAATAATATTAGCTACTGAGAATTAAGCTGTAAAAGTACAGTTATATTGACATGGAACTATGTTCGCACCATACTCTTATAAAACAGTAAACCATGTACATACAAATGCATACATCTACATATGCTCAGGAAATACACAGAAATATGCGAACTAGGGTTTAATACTGAATGATGGCACAATTTTCATTTTAATTTCATTCTTAATTTAATTCCATGTTTCTTGTTATTATCATATTTTTATTCTGAATATAACTTGTAAAACAATAAGCTTTAAAACCCTCAAATAGAGTTAAATTAAGGACCTAGACAATTTGTACATCATATAGTTAATAGATACTGTGCAGCTGCTAGACAAACATTCTCTCTCAAGTGTAATTTATTACTGCCTTACATATTTAAGGTAAGTCAGAACAGAACACTGCACTGAGCACAGGGCTCAAGCAACAGTTCCGGCTCTGCCTGCTACTAGCCAGGTAGTCTCAAGGAAATCATTAACCTTTCTCTGCTTTGGATTCCTCATGCGTTAACTGAGGATCATTATAGAAAACAAATTAAATTGTAAATATAGCCATTTCTTAAAAAATATAATGTTATCTTGAGTATGGGTATTACTCTACATTAACAGTATTTAAATTCGCAGTGATTTACAACTTAGGAACACACGGGTGGGTAATTATAACTTTATTATTCCATCTGTCAAATAAACCTGCAGGACAGAAATCTGCCACAGCCAGATGAACAATCTCTTAGAAATAAAAGTCACCAGCCATCCCAGATATTATTTTTATCTTGGTCTCGGAGTCATAATAGGTAGCTTAGCAATGTCTGCAGCTACTCAATCACTACAGGATTTGTTGTGGGAGGAAATAAGTTTCGCTATGATCTCTGGAGGAAAACAACTTTCCAGCTTTAACGCTGCAGCAGTTCGGGGTACTTCAGCAGTACCAATCTTTCCACGGCCTCCTCTGATTTCACTCAACTCCAAAAAAAAAAAAAATCAAAGAAGTAAGGATGAAAAAGACGCTCCTTGACCCCAGGCCTGGGTCTGTAATCGACACAGAGTTAAAACTTTGAGACCACACAGTTGCCCCCTCTGTGGTTCTTTTACACAACAGGAACACAGTATCAATGACCTCGTGGATCTTTTCACTAAAAGCAAAAGACTGACATTCACTTTAGCATAGAATTCTCCCTGTGTAATTTATTTATAGTTCCAGACAGTCCACTCAGAAGATTTCACACCAGACATCCTCACTGATGCTAACAGTGGATGTCTTTCATCCTGTAATATCAAAATCCACTTAGGAAACTCTCCCAGCCCCCCTCTATCCATTCCTCACAAACGCAAATGCTTTGTGAGCGCCATACACACTAGCAGCATGGACAAGCAAAGGAATGAAATGAATACATAGAGCCCTTTGCCAGAAGAGAGGAGGAACGTCGGCTTATGTCTTAGGAACCCCCCAGGCTTACAGACCCCTTCAGTAAGTTTTGGCACACATCAAACATACTTTTGGGAGTTCAAGTAGATCATTCCAAGACTGCCCTGGGATGACCTCACCAAAAAGCACACTTCTTTTTAGAAAGTGTGTGTATGCGTGTGCATGAGTGTGCGCATGTGCATGAGTGTGCGTGTGTTACACGTTTCTATGTTGTATGTGTGTTTGCAGATATGTGGGCCTCTGTACATGCATGTGAAGGTGAGAGGAGCATTTGAACACCCAGAACAGCTCTCCACCTTACTCCCTTGAGACTGGGTCTCTCACTGAGCCTGGTACTCACTGACATTAGCTAGAATGGCAGCCAACAGGTCCCAGTGATTCTCCTTTCTGCACCTTCACCCTTGCCCTTGATGCAGTTACAGGCACACCCAGCTTTTTCTAAGAGTTCTGGAGATCTGTCCTCATGCAAACCCTCTGACCCGCTCAGCTTTCTTTCCAAGCTTTAAAAAATACCAATTGGGCCGGGTGGTGGTGGCACACGCCTTTAATCCCAGCACTCGGGAGGCAGAGGCAGGCAGATCTCTGTGAGTTCGAGGCCAGCCTGATCTACAAGAGCTAGTTCCAGGACAGGAACCAAAAAGCTACGGAGAAACCCTGTCTCGAAAAATCAAAAAAAAAAAAAAAAAATACCAATTGGTCATCCCTGAAAACAAATACACAAGTAACATTATACAGGCATTAGAACATTAGCAGGTCAGTTATGCACACACACATACACACACACACACACACACACACACACAAACACACACACGTGCACACACACGCACACATAACAACACTTAATAAGAAAACGAGGTCATGAATTTGAAAGAGAAGAAGGATATATGGGAAGGTTTGAAGGGAGGAATGGGAATGGGGAAATAGTACAATTATATATTCTTTATTTATTTTTGGTTTTTCAAGACAAGGTTTCTCTGTGTACTAGAATTTACTCTGTAGACCAGACTGGCTTCAAACTCAGAAAGCTGCCTGCCTCTGCCTCTCTAGTGCTGGATTAAAGGTATGTGCTACTGTTGCCTGTCAAGAAATAGTTTCTTTCTTTCTCTCTTTCTCTTTCTTTTCTTTCTTTCTTTCTTTCTTTCCTTTCTGAATGTACCTCTGTTGTGAAGCATGAACCGAGTAACTGGCCACTGGCATTAAGTGAGTGAGTGGGAAAGAAGCAGGGCCAAGTGAAGCGGGGAACCACAGAACAAATCATACAAGATCACCAGAATCTGCAGCACTCCCGCGTACAAGATCCAGCCAATAGCAAACCTTTCAAACATCACCAGACTACCTAAACATGTGTCATCCCTAAAAATGCTTTTGCTGTATTTATTATTTGTAGTTCAGTTTTGCAGTTTATAAAGCAAAATTACTATGGATTGTCTGCAACTTTCATTAATAATTTTTCTTTAGCTTTCCATTGTTCATAAGATCCCGACAAAGACTATGTGATAATCCATGCAGCAGCAGAACTTTAGAGGTAGAAACAGAAAGACTGTAAGTTCAAGATCAGCATGGGTAGAGAAGTGGGGGTGAGGGACTCCTCAAATTTTAAATTTGTATAAGCCTCGGGTTGACGTATAGCTAGCTCACTTGATTAGAATGCATTGGGTTCTCACCTTAGCAAAATGTAAAATAAAATAAAAATTACAGGAAGTTATAAGCCTAGCTGTATATTGCACAGCAAAGGCTGGACCATGATGCTAACTAAGAATTACTTGGTAATAACTTGTCATCTTCCTTTAAGTAATCATGTTGTTTCAATGATGCCAGGACTTCACCACTAAAACAAGACAGATAACTAGACCTAACCAACATAACGGACAAGAACCAGTCCTTCTTTTTGTAGAATTTCCAGTACCTTGTCATGGTTCAGTGTTTCCAAGGAGGCTCAAAGAGTTGCCCAGAAAAGAACTTGCCTTTGGAGCTACCATTTATGGCTAGAGAAAACAACCTCCAGATACAAAGAGTTGCCCAACCACTGTTACTTCCAGTACTACAGACCATCTGGTCTTCGGGAAGACATGCAAGCGGTTTCTATAGGATGTTGGCTATGGAGGGGAGGATGCTGAATCTGGGAAGATGCTCCCTGATGTGTCTGAGAAGAGGACCAAAGAGCACTAAAGACACAAAGCAGATCTGTGTTTGGTGTTCTCCATACTTCACCCCATCTCATGTTCCTACAACTTATTCCTCCGAAAGAGCCAGTCATGCCCCAGGTCTCCAGAGGTTCGGGGGTTGTAACTCCTCCTCCTGTGGCATGCTCCCAGCAGTCCTACAAGGCCTGCTCACAATCTCCACCAGAACTCTCCATGTGACCCATACACAGATCTCCCAGTTCAGTTCTGATGACGTCAGCCGTCACTTATCTGCCAGAACTAACTGCCAAGAGCCAGAGTTCGTGATCCTCTCCTGCCACCTCAAGTCATGCTCACTGGTAGTGACGGAGCCAGAGCCACTCATGCGGAATGCTAGAATGCTCTACGTTCAGATTCACAGCCTGTGATGAGCATCCACAGCCACTAAGCAGTACCCAAGGATAGCTATGCCCCACTCTATCTGCCTGTGCTGAAGTCTTAGACCACACTGAGACCTGAGCCAGGCTCTACTGTCTCAAAGCTCAGAGTAAGAGATAACAACAATCTCCACTAATCTATTATTTGAGTGGTAATTCTGAAATATTGGAACAAAACAAGACGAAAACTCTGAAATTGTACATAACAGAAACGTATACAAAGAGCTTACCATTGATGTTAACCAATGACAGAATACTATCCTGGTGATCAAGAAGCCGTTTAACTTCAATGATATCCCATTCCAGCAAGCCTTCTGTAGGTGCTACTAACCTAAAAATTACTAAAGAATGGTTATTTTACTAAATGTTCAAAGAACATAAAATACCTTTTTACTCAAAAAGCATTAATTACAAAGTATACATCATGCTGGAAAAAAACAACAACTCCAAAAGAACCTATTTATACCAGTTTACACCATTTCTTTCAAATGCTTGAGCTGCTTAAATGATCTCCTTAAACCCTCAGCCAGGGTGTCCTTCCAGGGTTCCTTCGGCTTGCTTCCTTTACTGACTTCCCAAACTCAGTCCGACCCTCCACTTCCCTCAAGGCCTCATCACACATCAGAAGTATCACTCCATTCCCACCCAGGCCAGTGACTGGCCACGGCCCCGGATCATTTCCACTCAGTGCTCTCCACATGTATGTCCAGGCCAGTACACACGGCTACAAAACAAGCTATAGATTCCTGGCCTTCAACTTAGCAAAGGCTTTAGCAGCTACCAAAAAATAAAAATAGCAGTTAAGCAAGAGAAAAGGACTTTTCAGTTTGGGGGCATATAAGCCCTCCGCAAACATAGCTTCTAATTTCTTGATTATAGATGATGTGTTCCTTGGTTTATTATCTGACTTTAAAAATTAGTTTTATTTATCTGGGTAGTGGTGGCACACATCTTTAATCCCAGCACTTGGGAGGCAGAGGCAGGCAGATCTCTGAGCTAGATCTTCCTTGTTTAAACTACAAATTCTAACGTTAATCAACACATAAAACCTACAATCAAATCAAGTGGTTCTATCAATCAATCAACATTTATAAAAATCTATGATATTCGAGGAGTTCTAGCTTCCAACTGTGAAGGCCCAGTTACTGCCTGTGAACACTGAGTGACAGAGAGGCGGCAGACATGAGACCTGTGGAGACATGGCCATCAGTATTCTACGATCCCCTAGGCCACTGGAGCCAGGGCTGTGCATGCACAGAGACAGGCATGCCTGAGAGAAAAGGTGGACAGGTCCCACAGCCTTCCCAGGTGGTGGTAATCAACTATCCAAGTCTCTCTTTCCCTCAAAGTCCTTGCTGGAAAATCAGTCATGGCACATTTATTTTAGTATTTCTGACAATATTTTCCCAACTGTCAAAGAATTAGCAAGATTATTAAATTCTAATAGCCTTTCATATTCGAATTGTGGCTGTGAGAAATTTTCTCTGCTAATACCAAAGAAAAGTCTTCTTGGTGTGGATAAACTGAGTAAAAACACTACTGCTAAATGATTTTAGAATAAGTAATATATTGTTACATTGATTATTAGGAGATAGTTAACAGTGTAATCTATTGACGAGAAGAAATCTGACCTAACACTGTGAAAATGGCTCACCCTGTATTATTTTCAACAACCCAAGAAGCCAGAGCTAGGGCAGAGACAGACATCTCCAAAATAAACCTGCCTTTATCTTTCTAGTGGAGCCCATGTATGTATTCACGCAGCTGCCCAGACATGGAAGTGTGCACCAACGTAAAGAAAACAGATGATATACTCACTCAGTTCTTTGCCAACTGCTGCCACAACACAGTTCCTAGGGATTTCAACCAAAGCACTGATCCCTTCAGAAAAAAATATAAAATAAGGCAAATCATTTTCTCTCATGGGTTACATCAAAACAAAACTTTCTCAACTTTATGTAAGTCATTTCCCATAAAACATACTTGAAACTTTCGACATAAACACTTACTTTCTATCTTACACATGGAAACTGAGTTATAAGTTTCTGATCCCTATGAAAGACTTTCTATATATAAACAGGCTCTGAGTGTTTCTCCTGTGGTAGTAACATGGTATATTCAACCATTTCCCTTATATTTATATATATTATATCCCTTAGGATAATCATCACCAACCAGCACATGAAGGCTAATTCAATGAGCTCACCGGGCTTTCCCTTGGTGTAACTTTCACTGACCCTGAATGAGCTAATGTAATCATGGAAAAGCCATACCTGGCCTCCATCCTGTTCCCTTACACAACTCCTAAAATCCTCTGAGTCTCCTAAGACACCGTCTTTCTGTGTCCCTGTGATACGCTTGTGTCCGGTCAGTCCCTGGCAGCTATGGGTGAGAGCCGCTCATGAGCAGGATCGAGGCAGGAGGAGAAGCTGGCACTTTCTGCCTCACCTCTCAATTCCCAGGGAGAGAGGGACAGAAGATAATGTTGGCCACCAGTCACACATGGTTGGATTAACCATATCTACAGAAGAAAGCCTCCCTACAAACTGGGATAGGATTTAGAGAGATGCAGTAAAGCTGAACGTAGACAATTCCTGCAGGGTATACACTTAGGGAGGGCACAGACCCTTGTGCCCCTTCCTCCCACCTTGCCCTTTGTAGTTCTTCTTTGGTACCCTGTGATAGACCCTAAGTGGGTAAATGTGTTTCCCTCAGTTCTGTATACCACTTCAGCAAATTGAATCCTGGTTTATAACCAGGGGGTCAAAATCTAAAACAAAAGACCAAGCGGGCATGTCAGTGGAATGACGGGTAAGGAAGGGCTGAGGACTAAGCTCTTGGCCTGTGGAACTGGACACTACCTCCAGGTAGACAGAGTCGGCCTGAGAAGGGAGGACAGAGCTTTGACTAGGAGCACAGAGGAGGGAAGCTCCTACGGAGCAGCTAGCCATTCCCAGCTTCATGCTCCACCCTCTAATCCAGCTAAGGGAGAGGCCTGCAAACAGCATGCTTACAGCTAGTCAGTGCATTTCCCAAACAACCTGCCTTACTGAGATGACTGCCTTCATTTATTTATGTTTGGTGGCTGCTATTGTCTGAACTGGCCCACTGAAGTCCAGGGTTTGGGTTTTCCTCCTCGTCAGCCTCCCTAGTAGCTGGATTGCCGCCCACGAAGCTGTCCTTGCCCTTAAACACTGAATATCTTTTCATAGCTCAATCATAAAATGGCTTCAGACTAACCAAAACTTCAAGTATTAAAAGTTGAAATTCTGGAACACATTAACATGAAATTCTTTTAACAAAGTTAGTCTTCCTCTTTGATATACGTAATTTATAAATGAAATTTTTAACATACATATAAACAGAGATGTCCCTTTCTTTTCCTTCTTACCTGTCAAAGACTAGCAACACTGTTCTGATGTCAAGTGCATTTCCGCCCTGACTTCTCCTTCACAGGGCATATTTTACAAGTTTGTTTTGTGTGCACATGGACGAGATGGAAGAATTGTGAACGAACACAGGAGAAGGACATGGAAAAATGCATAATGTTTCTGCATATTTGTCTGTTGTTTTTTGAGATGCCCAGGCTGTCCTCAAACTTGTGAACATCTTCCTTTTCCAAGAAGAATTTTAAATGCAGAAAATGTTCACCAAGGGGCCAGGGAGATGGCTTAGGGGACAAAGGCGCCTGCTGTCAAGCTTGAGGACCTGAGTTTGACCCTGGAATCCACTAATAGAAGACAAGGACTCACGCTAGCTGTCCTCTGACCGTCATGCGTGTATCATAGCCCATGCCCCCCATGCATGCACACACGCACAACACACACAGATACATGTACACATACATATAATAATACATAAGACTGCAGAATATTATTAAGTGATCAGAGTCTTGCTAGCCCACACTTGGGTTTGGTTATATACTGAAAGTAATCAAAGGTTATCATGTAAAAGAGATCCTATGTATCCATGTTCACATGTGACACTAATGTAGGGAGGTTATGGAATCCACCTACATGTTCGACAACCGATAATGGATAAAGATCATGTGATCCGCACATATACACAATGAAGAATTAGCAGCCATAGAAAACAAAATTCTATTCTTTTCAAGGAAGTAGATGAACTGAAAGTCATCGTCTTAAGTAAGAAAAGCCAGATGCAAGAAGACAGTGGTGCACATCTTCTCTCATATGTGGAAGGAGGATGACTTTTGGGGGGGTTAGAAAACTAATGCAAACGTAAGGATGACAAGAGAGGGGGACAGGATGGGCAGATATCAAAATACATTGTTTCCATGTATGAAAATACCATACTGAAACCTAATACTTGATACAAATAACATACACATGAATATAAATGTTCATTCAATTATTTGTTACATGAAAATTGACAAATTGTATGGCTACCCACAATCCTACATGGAATTATCACATTATATTGTGGTATGTCTCTTTAAAGATTCAACTGTCTTTTTCAATCAGTCGCATCTCATAATTTTCATGCCTGGTTTTTACCTGTATCAGAAAGGTGGTTGGTCTTACACAGAAGATCTAATTTTCGGTTCCACACACCTAAGTCATTGCCACCCGAGAGCCAAACGTCTAGTCCCTGAAGAACAGTTAAGCACTGCAAAATTGATTGGAAATGTATTGTCAGTCTAGAAATTCTAGCATTCGTTATTCCATGATTTTAAATTGTGTCCCCTAGTTCTGTCAAATCCCTCCTTTTGATAGGCGGTTTGTTTGGCTTATCTGATTACAGGTTCTTTAGGAGAATATTGTCTCACAGCATAGGAGCAGAGAGACCACGTGATCTGTAAGGCGGTCACGCAGTGTAATTTGTAGCGAGGTTACAGAAGACGCTGGGGCTCTCCTGTTTTCTCTCAGCTCACTGCTGTAAGGTGACAGTAGAGCAATCCTGAGGCTTCTGAACAGGGCAGAGCAGCAATGTGCCAAGCCACCTGGAGCCTCTGAGGACGTGCTCGACCCAGAGTTGGAGCCAGCACCACTCAGCTAAGAAGCTCTCTGTTCCTGAGCACAGACACCGCAAGTTTATTAGAGCTTTCAGGGGTCTTGGGAACCACTCATAGACAATGTACTGACAATCCTTAAAGGCCTTTAAAAAACAAAATGGAGACTATGATATAGTTTTTAATTTTCAACCAATTCTCAACCATTCTATTTGATAGACTTAAAGGCTTTCCAGGATGCAGAATCTGTTACTTTACATGGCACCATAGGGTCCCTTTCTTCAAGAGTCATGTCCGCACCCACTATAGACTCACCAGGCCCCACCCACTATAGACCCACCAGGTCCCTGCCCACTATAGACCCACCAGGTCCCTGCCCACTATAGACTCACCAGGCCCCACCCACTATAGACCCACCAGGTCCCTGCCCACTATAGACCCACCAGGTCCCTGCCCACTATAAACCCACCAGGTCCTGCCCACTATAGACCCACTAGGCCCCACCCTCTATTTTCTTCAAGAGTCATGTCCGCACCCACCCAGGCCCTACCCATTATAAATCCACCAGGCCCCGCCCACTATAGACTCACCAGGTCCCGCCCACCATAAACCCACCAGGTCCCTCCCTCTATAAACTCACAGGCCCCACCCACTATAGACCCATCAGACCCCACCCTCTATAAACCCACCAGGCCCCGCCCACTATAAACCCATCAGACCCCACCCTCTATAAACCCACCAGGCCACACCCACTATAAACCCATCAGACCCCACACTCTATAAACCCACCAGGCCCCGCCCACTATAAACCCATCAGACCCCACCTTCTCATTTGTTTGCCCCTGATCTGATTTCCAACTGAAACATTCTCACACTTAAATAATACATATGATCCCAAAAATTTTGTCTTCAAATGGCTGTGTAAAAGGAACAATGTGTAAAACCTAAAGAAGTAATTTAATCTAATTTATTAAATCATTTTGAGAACAACAACAGTAGCATTAAAAACCTGAGTTTGCGGCAGACTTTACCTTCACGGTGGACTGGAAGCAGGAGACGCTCTGGATCTGTCTGCCAGTGTCGCAGTCCCACACTTAGACTGATGTTAAGAAATAATTCCCAACTGGAATTTCAAGACTTCAATTAGGAGATGACCCTTCTAATTAACAATCAAATCAAAGGATAAACAGACCCACCAGGCAGGGCCTGTGAGTTTATAGAGGGCAGGGCCTGGTGGGGGTCTATTTATTAGAAAATCTATTAGAAAATTGCCATAGATCCAGCCGGCACATCGTCACCATCACCATCACCGTCACCATCACCGTCACCGCTGTACTATCCAGTGATGACACCGCCATAGATCCAGCCGGCACATCGTCACCGCGGTACTGTGAGGCCCTTTAAGACGCAGCAGAGCAAGAGCTCTGGAGTGCTAATCTTCATGGGCATCAAACACTGCCTCTGCCTAAAGGGTTCTCTTGGGAACAGTTTACCACGATGCAGCAGCGAGCCTGTGCAAACGCTGCATGCAAAAACTTCTCCATCCCCAGCAGTCTCTGAGAGCTCGCTGAGTGCTCAGGCACGGCTCACCACTGCTGCGACACTAACTCTGTCACTGGGACTGTGCCTGTGCTGACAATCACTGCAAGGCCCCTCGCCACATGGTAAAGGCTCAGTGTGACTTAAGGAACATGATGATCTTTATAAACTTTTAACACTACTTCCTACAGTGTTATACTCCATACCATATACATATAAATATTATATCATATACTTGTAAGTGTGAATAATATAAATGTATGGCAAATACATTTTATAACATTATGACACATATTTAGTAGTATATTTTAAAGTTAATTTCATAATCTAGTTAATTGTATATCTGATTGTTTTTTATTGATTTTACTTCTCTTCCAATGCAGTTAGTTATAAAAGGAGAGATACCTGTATATTCATACATTTGTGTCACACTAAACAAACTACTCAGTCATAAAAAAGCTCTCTAATTAGACGATGTTTTCTGGCCTCAAGCTCCCAGTTCTGCTACCCCTCAGTCTTTCCGCAGATTTCAGTTTGAAAGCTTAATGCTCAGTACTAAGAAACATGGACTCTTAAGACCATTACTTGACAGAAAAATAAATAAAGTCTATCGTCAACCTTTAATTAAGAAAGTTAATTAACAGAGGTCCAAGGAGAGTAAATTTAGAATCCAACTGGATAAAATGAATGCCAAAGTTCTCCGGGATTTTAAGTAAGACTGATTCCGTGAACATGGAAGGCTGTGTGTGACCTCACTACTCACCGGTCCCAGCATCTCACCCTGTACTGGGACAACAATTCTACTGTCTATAATACTAGTACAGCATCTTAGTGTGTGACCTCACTACTCACCGGTCCCAGCATCTCACCCTGTACTGGGACAACAATTCTACTAATTGTCTATAATACTAGTACAGCATCTTAGAAAGGGCCTAAAGAGACACTATTTTAAATTCTAGTTCTGCAAAAATTTTAACAGAGAAAGAGACAAGAGCTTGAATCCACAATGTTTTCCTCAAGAGTGGCAGTGATAGGTCTCGCCTGGCCTATGGATCTAACTGAATCCCGCTTCAACGTCAGCCCACTTCAATGTTCTGACAGTCTATAGACAAGTTATCTAGAAACGGTGTCAGCTGCTGAGCTCACTCAAAGTGGGACCTCAAGTCGCATGTCCTGATTCAAGAGAGGCCTGAGAAACCATTCCTCCTCTGGGCTTCCTTCTAAACTTAGCAGAGCTTTTAAACTGGCATAGTTTGTCCTGGCCGACCTGATGCTTTCGAGAGAGGAATGGAAACTGAGTCAGCCACACACTGCTTTATCAGGAGCGTGTGTGCCACAGCTCCAGGACCCTGACGGCAGGCAGGCTGCTGGCCACCACTCCGCCTTCCTGGCCAGATGTCTGTGGCTCGGCACCTCTGTCTCTACCCTCTCACTTGTGAGAATGAAGGAAACCCCTACTTCATAAGACCATTTTAAAGATTACGTAAGTCAACGTGTAAGACGCAATGATCCGCAGCAAACAAGCGCACTTCCCAGAGCAGCGCCGTTCCTGCTGCACCAGAATTCTACCTGGAAAGTCCGGGAAAGCAAAAGCAGCTTAGCACCTTTAAAATCTGCCTCAAACACCAAGACTTGACTACTGCGCAGACCCACTCAGCAGTAACGAGGCTCTCACAATGCAGGCCACACACAACAAGGAAGTGAATTATTTTCCAGGCCAATTCATCCTAATTTCCCTAAATTGAGGTGATATTTTAAGTCCACAACTTCCATCCCTCCCTTCTGCATAACTTGATGTAATAGAATCTAGAACTCTAATTTTGTACTCCAGAAAGCGCTGCTCCAGCCGTGGGGTTTCTGAACTACAAGCCCTGACCTGCTACTCTGGGGGTAAGGATATACCGACGGTCCTGTCTGCAGAGGCTGTCAGGATGAGCTGATGGCCCTGCTCACAAGAGTCGAGCGGGGGAAACGCAGTGATGGCCGTTATCTTCTGGCTGTGTCCTCTGAGATCCAGGAGCTTTTCTCCTGTCTGAAATACAAGTAAGAATGTTAATAAACTTACCCTTTCCAACTTGAAGAGTCCTAAATAACATCAATAATAGCTATGCAGAAAATAACATACTTGCCATCTAAAATTATGTGTTTGGAATTTAAACTTTTTTAAACAATCAAATACAATCTAAACAAATATCAAAAGCAGCTGTGAATATTTTTAACTATTTTCTAGTTAGTATGTTAATTTAGCATATTTTCATAGTCAATTTAAAGAAATATTCTTTCCTGTGGTTTTTAGGAACTGTATAAGTTCTGCAGCAGTACCAACAGTTTACTCTGTAGAGAGAAAACAGAATCCTGACGATGCATGTGTGCACGTCTGACCTCTCTACAGCCGTGAGTGCAGAAGAAACAAGAGCACAGTGGTCTCCAGGTGTATTTACCCCAGCACCGTTCCCAGTTCCTAGCCACTCAGTGTCTCCTGCCAAGGTCTCTCCCCGACCTCCCAAGTGGAAACATAAGATATATATATATATATATATATATATATATATATATATATACATTTCAGATCTTCCCAGGGCTTCGGGATTTCATGAATGTGTTTACAATACAGCGAGTCCTCAGCATCCACCATTTTTAGAAGCATGGATTCACCTCATTTTACTTTTCTGTTTAGAAACAGTAATGTAGGCCAGGCTTGCCTCAAATTTATCAGGAAGCTAAGGCTAGCCCCCTCTTGATCCTCCTGGTTTCACCTCTAGGATTCAGGTGTGTGCCACTATTTCTGGCCTGATTCAACCAATCTTAGCAAAATAACAGTTTTGTTTTGTTTTGTTTTTTAATGTGTGTGAGGTTGCATGACGGTATATATCTGTAATCCCAAACTTCAATATACTGAAGCAAGGGGACAAAAGTTCAGTCTGGGCTAGACCGGGTCTCAATCAATCAATCAAAACAGAATAAACTGCCTGGACTGAACATGAAAATACTTTTCTGGTCATTATTCCCTATAGCATTTGCACTGTGTTAGGCATGATATATATATTGTAGTCACATGGGCATCTGAGCCCTCAGTGTGGGGCAGGGAGTACTGGCGCCACCCAGTGGACACTGGGGTGTTAAAGGACAGCTCCATCTAAGTAAGACCAGAGAAAGATGAGGACTGAGAATAATTATCTTTGATTCACTGCAGAGTAGCTGATCACCTAAAGATTGTTCAGTAAGATAAAATCTCTCTGGAGCTAGAGAGATGGCTCAGTGGTTACAGAGGACCCAAGTCAGGAGACTCACCTCTAACTCCTAGGGTTCAGACCTCTTTTGCCCTCTGCAGGGACCCCCCACTCTTCTCTCTCTCTCTCTCTCTCTCTCTCTCTCTCTCTCTCTCTCTCTCTCACACACACACACACACACACACTTGAATAAAGTTTTAAAGATTAAAATTTTTTTCACAAAAAAACCCAAAACATTTGTTTGTCAGGATGGAAAAATCTTAGAGAAACCATTCTCTCTTTATCATGAAACACTAGTCCCTGTTGCAAACGAGTATCTCTAACTAACCCTTGTCAAGTATTAACCAATTTCAACTGATGAACTGATGAAAATATGCCAACATGCCCCACAAAGCGTTAGTGAAAGCATGATAGTATTTAATTGGTACACACCTGGGCATTCCACACAACTATAACGCCATCATCGCCTGCAGATGCAAATCTGGTTTGAGAAAAGAGACCACAAAGAAAAATCATTAGTGACATTTAAGTGATGAGACATTTGAATGTAATATTATTTTAATAAATTATGTTTGGAAAAATGTGTATTAATATCTGATATTAAGGAATGTACCAAGGCTATAATACATAGATTAAGTATTAACAATAATTTTTGTATCTTTGTTCATATTACTATATTTGTACTGGCTTCAATATGCTGATCAAATATTAAATGTTGATATTATATTACTATTAAGAGTGGCTAACAATTAATTGAATTATTCCCTTGTCAGGCTTTGTGCTAACATTTTTTAATTAGTATACAAAGTATTAAGTGTCATATAGCACCTTCAAACAAAATTTGTTTTTGTTGATTTTTCTCCACCCCAACAGCCTCCTTGGGTCTGCTTCCCTGTCACATGCTCTGCTGCCCTCCCACGGCCTCCACGCTCTTCCCCCCTCTTCTGGGCCCTTTCTAGTTTCATAGGTGACACCAACTCTCATATCTACATGGATTAAAGGCTTGGATCCACACAAAAGCGAACACGCCAACATTTACCTCTCTGAGTCCTCATCACCCTGCTTTATCTAATACTTTCCTGACAAAACTTTGAGAAAAGAAACAATAACTCTATTGTTTCACAGCTGAATCAAATTTCATTTGTACATATACAACAATTTCCTCACTCACTCATATGGCAATGGACATGTGCGATTATTTCCTTTCCCTGACATTCTGAATAATTCATCAGTAAACACGGATGTGCAAATCTGTCTGTGATAGGACACAGAGTCCTTTGGGAATGCATCTAGAAGTAATATAACTAGGCTCTATGATAGTTCTATTTTTAATTTTTGGATAAGCCTCCACATTAGTTCCCATAACGTCTTTACGACTATTCTCTTTCACCCGCAGAGAATAAGGGCTCCTATTTCCATACATCCTTGCAAGCATTTGTTGTCACCTGTTCTCTCGATGATATACATTCAGTAACCGGGAATCTCATGGGGGGTGGGGTGGGGAGAGATGCTCATGAGTGTAGTTTTAAGTGCCCATGTGTGTATGTGTGCATGCAGACACCAGAGGGGGACACTGGGTGAGTTCTTCATCACAGGCACACATAGCCATGTCTGGCTTTTTACACAGACGTGGGAGATTTGAACCCATATCCTAACACGCGTGAGCAAGTAATCTTACCCATGATGCTATCTCCCCGTCCTCAAAGCAGTATTAATTTGCATTCCCTTGATGGCTAAGGATACAACACCAATCTCCTTTTTATAAAATTCTATGTGTCTATTTGAAACGTGTGTGCGCACATGCATACAGAAGGCGAAGTTTGGACTCAGATGTCTTCCTGTACCACTCTCAGACTTATCTTTTGAGACAAGGTTTCTCACAGAACCCAGAGCTCACCAACTGGCTCGCCTGCAAGCCCTGAGGATCTGCCTGCCCCCACCCTCCTACTGCCCACGGTAAAGATGCAGCTGACCCGCTAGACTTTTGTGTGGGAGCTGAGGATCTGAACTGTGGTCCTGGGGCTTATGCGACAGTCACTTCATTAGCTGAACATCTTCCCAGCCCCTGGAGCACTTTTAACAATACTCATCGGCCACTTGCGTTCCATGTTTGAGAACTGTCTATTTCATTAGCCCACTCAGCAGTTTGGGGGCTGACTGCATCTCTTTCCACATCCTCGGTACTAACGCCTGGCTGAAGCATTGTCTGGCAAAGACTTTTCCTCCACTCTCCAGCCATCTGCTTACTTTGCGGAGAGCATCCTCTGCTGTGGGGGACGTTTGAGTTTCATCTATTCCCACCTCTTAATTTTCTGGACCATTCCCTGTGCTAGCGGAGTCATAGTGACCAAGCTCTAGCGCACTTGTATCTTGAAGTGTGTTCCGTTTTCCTCTAGCAATTTTAGTATTTCAGATTTTAAATTAAGGCTCTTGATATATATTTTTTTAAAATATTTCTTTGTACAGAGTGAGAGAGATGGATCTGACTTCACCTCTGCACAGGTGAGATCCAGTTTTGGTAGAACTACTTGTTGAACAGACCGTCCCTTACCATTTGTGTACACTTTGACACTTTACGCCTACATGACTTTATTTTTGAGTTCTCTACTCCACGCCATTGGTTTACATGTCTGGTTTCACGGTGCCACGGTGAACCTGTGTCAGCTGCAGCTCTGTTGTATAACTCGAGGTCAGGTACATTAGAACCATGAAATCTTACTGGTGATATTTTCACTTACACTAACAAACATTCAGTTCTGCAAACTAACTTAACAAATGTTTATAATCTTGTAAATTCCATACCAAGTATTAAGGGCTCAATGACAACGCACTGGCAGGATCACAAAGAACCTGCTGGAATGTCAAGGAAGCTACCAAGATGATTCTCGTTCCCCACTGGTTAAAACTGTGAGCAAAGCAGTCCCCATCAAATGAGCCAAGCTGAGAAGCAGACTCCGTGGACAGAATGACAACCTAGGGATGGAATTAATTTTTATTATTTTTATTAAAGGTATTTTAAAACTGTTTTTAAAAGCAAGACTTCTCTTTTGCTCATCTTGGCTTTTTGGTCTTTTTATAAGTATAAACTGGGTGAGATTTGTAGTAGAGGTTTTCAGTGAAGATATTTCAAATGCACAGAGTTTAAAGAAAAAAAGTATGTTTGGGGCCATGAAAAGGAAGCGACAATAAACATTGCTGAAGCCCATCTCCTCTTCACCCTCATTCCCTCTACCCTACGTAAAGTAAAGCATCCTATACATAAATCCTATCAAGAAAACGATTTTAAATTACTATTCATCGTAGCGACTGTATTATAACAAAATCCAAGTGAGCACCATGTCTAAGCAGGCGCCCAACACAGCCTGTGCAGCAATCAGGCTTTAAAGTTGTCAACGGTGACTGAAGCACAGCGGTCTGTAGGGGGCGCTAATGACTCAGAACCGTACCGAAGCTGCCTCATACTCTTATTCCCATCTAGTTGAAGTCAGGCTTTCATAATCGGAGAAAAAAGAAAGCCAGCTATGTACTGCATATAGTTATCATCCCTTAACTTAAGAAATGATGTTCCACTAATAGCTTTGCCATTTAGACAGTCTGGTATCTCCCTCTGAGATCAGCGGTGGAATCCATAAAATCTCCAAGGTCGTCAGTTAAGTCCACAGTGCTGGTGGAGGCGGTATTAGGAGAAAGGAAGGTCGCCTCTAGTGGACTTTACCCGACTTGGCAAGCACACGTTCTCACTCCTGCCCCCCAACACCTTCCTTAACCTTCTACGCTGAGCCTGGGACACACAGCTCATGCTCGACTTCAGTCTCCTGCTGTCTTCATAGGCTCAGGAGATCCCACACTCCGTTCTCATCAGACCCTCATCAGATCCCCCACAGTTAGAGGTAAGAGATCAGATACAGTCAGGAAGCTGCTAAGTAATTTTCCATGAGACACTATACGTTTTTAATGGAAAGATTATTAAGCCTCCTTAACTAGCTAGCTAGAAGCACACAACGTTCAAGTCAAATGCATATACACTGTTTACGTTCGTTTCAAAATGTGAGCGATTTACAAATTCCGGTGAGTTAAAAAAAAAAAAGAAAAGAAAATGGTTGTCCTAAGCCCATGTATACCTCAGCAGAGTAGCTGATTTAAAAATAGTCCATCAAGTTATGAACGCAATGTCCGGAAGGGGCAGGGGATATGAGAAGAGTTGGAAGTGGGGGACTAAGGGGCGGATATCATCATGTTGTACACACGTAGAAAACTCTCAAAGAACAAAATTTGAAAAAAAAAACTTTAAAAACTTCATTTTTCTTTGCTTAATGACCTGTTCTCCAAAACCAAATACTCAACAGTACCTTGAGTATCAACAGTAATTGCTGGAAGCAAATCCTGAGCAGCTGGCTCGGGGCTATCGATTCTCTGTATTATATAGTGAGAGTGGCGAGGGCGGGGCTCAAGGCTTAAGTTTGCTTTGGTATAAAACATCAATTTCTATTGATTCCCCAAACCCTTATAATTGCTTTTCTCCCGTCCAGAAAAGCTGCAGGTTTAAAATACTTTTTTTTTCTAACCCTGATTTTAAACTTCTCATTATTGTTATCATGTTTGAATCTCACAGAGAGAAACGAGCTCTCGCCGAGAACGACTGAACTGTTGAGAGATGAGGTAGGGAGCACTGCGCCTCAGACTGGAATTCAGTCAGCAGCACACAAAGTTAATTCTAAACAATGCTCAGTACTAATACATGAAAGCACAGTCAATTTTTCTCAAAGGTCAATTACCCACTCTGTAGATCATGCAGCCTTTCGGCTCTCTTATATATATTTTCTATGGCTGATTTATTTATTGGCCATTTCAGTGTTTATTGTTGCTGCTCCAAAGTGGAAACGATGCTTTGAAAAGCAAACCAATTACTTTGCTGCACACTGGCGTCTCCCATAAGGCAGCTAACAAAGGGTCCGGAGGTCTTCTGTGGGCTACAATTATCATATTCCACTATAGAGATCAGCTGCTACAACAGCTTATCCAGAACCAAATCCCAGTTGGTCCAGCACGTACTCTATCTCCAAACCAGCAGTGGGATTCAACCCAAGCCCTCCTAATACTAAGAAACGCTGCAACCCCTGAAAGGAAGTAACTAGCTGTTAATCAAGGAGTAACTCAGACATCAGTAAAACTTACTAAACAGTTCAACGAAAGAAAGGTGATTGCTACCACGACACTTTACCCGAGCTACCAGCTACGTTACTAGAACCCGAAGCCTTCAGCCTCCATTTACGATACTGAGAGAACAGCTTCTCTGTTACACACTGTGAGTTTATTGAGATGATATGCTGGAGTCAGAAAACCACCAAGGCAAGTCATCTGTGGTCCTCGTCTTGAGATCTCAAACCTGAGCAAACACTCAGAAGTGTACTGTCCTTTGCAATCTAAGGCACCATCAGTTATGAACACTGTTATTCTGTGTACCACTGGGGGAGGAGGGCT